CTTGTATCAGAAAAGAGAGTAATAAAATGACCTTGAAATCATCAACATGTGGGTGCAGAAGACAACCTCCATGTTAAGTGTGACACTAGGTTATGTGTTAAGTGCATATTTATGCATCCCACTATGTGCTACCACAGAGGCACATCGTAGGGGACTCCACCCTGTCATGATAGGGTTCTCCAGAAAAACAAAACCAGTAGGGTATGTGTGCAGTGTGTACATATATACAGAGAGAGATGGAGTATATGAAATTGGCTTATGTAGTTATGGGGACTGACACATCCAAAATCTGCAGAGGTAATGTTGTAGTTCAAGTTCAAATGTCAGAAACAGAACCAAAGAAGAGCTATTATCTTAGTTTGCCTCCACAGGCTGGTGGGCTGCGATAACACTAAGTCTCTCTTACTTAGGGAAGGGTCAGCCTTTTCTTCTGTTCAGGCCATACCTGCTTAGACAAGGCCCAGCTCTACTATGACAGCAACTAGCTTTATCCAGCCTACTAATTTGAGAATTAATTCTCACCCCAAAATATGTTTACTAGATATCTAGGCACCTCATGACCCAGCTGCCACATGAAATGACCTATCAACAATTACTTTATGGAGCTGGCATTCCAGTGGTCAGGTGCCATAATACTCAAGTTTCAGGTGGCAGCAGAACTCTGATTTTTCACATTTGCTACCATATCATCATGTTTCTGCTGGGAAAATTGAATATTCCCTGGCCTGAGCCACTGTGAAGAGTTCGGGGGAGTATTTTGGGCACTGAAAGTTGGTGACGGGACTAATCAGTACAGAGCTGAGGTGTTTTGAAACCCCTTATTTCTCTAAAGTTCGCCAGGGTACATGGGCTGTCCAGAATGTATCCAGCCATGTGTGTCTCTGTTTTTCATATTACATGACTATGCCTATGCTCACCTTACCCCCAGGCAACACAGAGCTTTTGGGATTAGAGGCGAACCTTGAGGAATGAGAGCATTAAGAGGAAGAAAGAAGAATATTGTAATTATTCTTTTTAGTTTGAGTTTTTGTTACCTCTCCAGATCCCAAGTGTGCTCAAAAGAAAAAAAAATAGCAGCAATGCCACCAGGATTTCCTCCTTCCAGCACATCCTCTCTTAGAGCAGTGACTCAATTTCTTGCTTAGAAATGGTGCCACCAGCCGTTGGAGGCTCAGGTTGAAAACATGAGTCATGTCTGGTGTCTGCCTTTTCCTTCAGACTCCACTTCTGGGCATTGTGAAGCCATTAAAAATATACACAGAATTCTACAACTGTTTAATGCTTCCTCCCCACCCCTGTCTGAAGGCACCACTCTTCCTGTTGAGACTGCATGCTAGTGGGTTGACTCCTCGCTGTTACACTGACCTCCCCAACCCCAAATCCATCCTCCTCATCGGCACTTGAGGGATTCCTTTAAAACCCAATATCGTGCCCAAATTAGCCTTTCTCAAAGCTTTCCCCATGCAGAATAAAGTCCAATGTCCTCTCCAGGGCCAGAGGCCCAGTGTGTTCTAGCCCTGCCTCCTCAGACCTCATTTCCCACCATTCTCTTATCTTGCCTGCTCTGCCCTAGTGACATTGTCTCTCTGCCAGTTTCTCTCATTGCCTTGACACTTCTATTCCCTCTTCTTTCTGGCTCCCGTGTCACCTCTTCAGAGATAGCTTTCCTAACCATGACAGCCCCATCTTTGTTATAGAAAGCCCTGTCCACACCCCCCTACTCTCTGCTTTATCTTCAGAGCACTTAGTGCTATCTGCCACCACACCTGTGTTCTAGAGCCAGCTCCCGATACCAGTTTGTGTGCCTCCCTCTTCTCTCTCTGAATGGTGAGGTCCATGCAGGCGGCAGATGCTACTCAGCTCTACCTCCCCAGCATCCAGATAGTGACAGATATATGACAGTGCTCGAAAAGATAAAGAAAAGAAGAAATGGCGAAGAAGGGAGATCAACGTGGAGGGCTTTAGCTTCTTCCAGCTCCAAGAGTCTGTGAGTCCATGAAGGGGCCAGCAGCCTGAGTCACTCAAATATCACTGGAACCAGTCTAAGGATATCAGGAATTTCACAGTACTGCTTATTTGAGATCTGGTTGATTTCTGATGCCTTGATCCTTCTCTCTGTGGACAGCTGACTGTAAAACAAAGCAGTCAAGGCACTCTGAGAAGAGACAGGGAGCGTCAGAGCCGTCACCTTGTCCCTCTGTTATCTGTCTACCGTTGCTGCTTCCCTCTCCCTCCACATGGCTATTGGGCTTTAAAAAAAAAAAAAATCTTTATCAGTAGTTCTCAGCTGACTAACTCTTGCCTCCTCCCTGAGTTCTAGAATATGTGTCCTTTACTCAGTGACAACTTCCCAATGCCCAGACGAGGCTAGGTCGCCCCATTCTCAGCTCCCATACTTTCCCCTTCTTAGCATTCGTCGCACACCCATAGACATTTTTTACAAGCCACCTTCCTTGTCAGCCCGAAAACTTCAAAAAGGACCTTGTCTGTCATCCTTACACCCAGAGGGAGTAACAAAGTGACAGGGACATAAGGGCTCAGTAAGTGTTGAACTAACAATTGAGTTTTTTAATGATAAACAAAAATTAACAATCTACCAGTGAATTGCAAAAAGGATAAGACTGATGATTGATTACTTATCATTCTCTTCATACTAAAGCTGTACCATACTTCTTTGGATATTCTTTTATTTTTGGTCAGCAGGAGATGGTAGGATAGGAGGTGGATGGGCCTTTTGTTCCTAGACGTGATTTAATTCTTAGAAAATTTTCCATAATCACTAACTTGGGTGACACTGTTGAAACCATCCAAGGAAGACAGTGATGAGATTTTGTTCCAAAGATCCTTGGTGTTAAGATTGAGATCTTTTCTAAATGTGGTTTTATCAAGAAGATTTTCCACATCCATCACCCTTTGTCTTTCTTCTTGAAATCCAAAGCTTTTATTTTCCTACCGAGGAAAATGAGGCATAGCTGAGAGTATAGTGGGAAGAATTGGGAAAACTCTCATGGTTGAAATATTCATTAACTTCTCAATTTCCCTTTCTACAAAATAAAAACAACAACATCTACAGTCTCAGGAGTTGGATAAAATAATTTGAACAGCTGGACGTTTACTGTCTGAAATGTTTGTAGAAATGATTGTATCACACAGAAAATGTACAGACTTTTACAATGGATGGAGTTTTATAACTCATATTCAAACCTGATGCATTAACCCACCAAAGTAGAAAATAATATTCTAGTCAGGCTTATGCACCCCTACTTAGACCAATCAGATGCATTTAGGGAAAGGCTGCAACTAGAGGTTTACAGGGGAGCTTAGAACAGACCAAAGCTCCATGCCCCAGAGTAGAGCCTGACTTGTTAACACCTGTGTTCTAATCATAGACTGGACAACTTCTCAAGGGTGAAACTGCTGTGCGTCTTACCAGCACTTCAGCAGTTCTCTCTATGAAATGTCACAGCTTGTGAAACCTCAGCCCAAATAATTGGCTACACGAAGGAGGGAGGGTGATCTGCATTCTGATGTTGGGAGGAATGTAGATATTCTGAATGTCAAGGAGTGTTTTATGCAGTATCTGAGAGTTTATGGCGTGTATAAAGAGCTAGATGTATGTTATTTAGAGGCCAATTATTCACGTAAGTGATGTTTAAGCCCCATTTTTTTTTTCTGAGTGAAACTTTAAGACGAGGTCAGGAAGTGAGAGGAATGTGGGAAGGCAGAACTGTCCTGGAGGTCTGGGAACTTGCCTCTGCGTTGTTTAGCTCTCCTCTGCTCTCTACTTTAAACGTGCCAGGACCCAGAAATTGGGAAAAGAAGTCTAAAGCCATCTATCTGACTTCTTGAAAACATGTAAATTGTAGTCACAAGGCCAATTGTTGCTATAGCAAACTATCACAAACTTAGTGAATTAAAACAACACAAATTTCTTACAATTCTGGAGATCAGAAGTCCCAAATGGATCTCAAGGTATTGGTAGAGCTCGTTCTGGAGTACATGAGAGAGAATTCATTTCCTCTTCTTCTCTGCCTCTTAGAGGCTGCCAGAATTCCTGGACTTCGCTCTGGTGTCTCCTTCCAATGTCACATCTTCTCTCTCTAGTGCCCCCTTCTCCCTCTTTGACCCCTGTGATGAGATGGGACTCACCTGGATAATGCAGGGTACTCTCCATCTATATCTAGGTCCTTGCCTGAATCACATTTGCAAAGTCCTTTTTGTCATGTAAGGTAATGAATTAATAGATTCCAGAGATAAGAACATGGACATCTTTAGGGGGTCATTATTCTACCTACTGTAGAAGGCAGTGGGAACTACTTGAGTCCGATTCTGGGAACTGCAATGACCTGCCCGATGTGGCTAAGGCTGCAGCTCCCTAGGATTCCCCTTCCAGATGCAGGTTCTACCACAAACACACTTGCATCCCAACTCACTTCCCTGCCAGGAACTGGCAGGCCATATTTGTGTTATTATAGTCCTCATCAGCTCTGCCCATTAAATATTTCTGTTCTCCACCACTGCTTCTGGGCATTTGTTACAATTTATGGGTTTTTTGTGGGTGGGAAGGTTCATATGATCAGTAACTTCTGGCCAATGACTTATAAGTAACTCTAGGCTGAGCATTTCACTGGTGGCATGGAGATCTTCTAGCACCTTCTCTTCTCCCTCTGGTACATTGACCAGCAATGTTCAAGATGGGTCAACTTGCAGTCAATGTGCAGAACAAGCTGGAAGTAAACTTTGTTGTCACCTTGGTATTTTGGCATAGTCTGTTAGGGCATACAACCCAGCTTATCCTTGTCAGGGTTTTCTTTTAAACATGCGTAATTTCTTTATCCAAATGATCCATATTCTGCAAGGATAATGGAGGAAGCTTTATTCCAAAGTGTCTGTGTTTAGATGGAATCGTCTGTTGCAGCAGAATAGTCAAGACTGAGATACAAATCCTTCTCCAGCAAACTGTTGATTTGCTTTTCCTTTTATTTCTTAAAACCCTGCAGGGCGAGCCCTACTGAGACTTACCGACAAAAAGCTTGAGCGAATGGGGATTGCCCAGGAGAACCTTCGGCAGCACATCTTACAGCAGGTGCTCCAGCTGAAGGTGCGAGAAGAAGTCAGAAATCTACAGTTGCTCACACAAGGTACCCTGTTACTTTCTAGTAGGTGGATGGGAGGGGAGATGGGAAGAAAGAAAACTTTCCCATTATGACAAAGAGGAGCCAGGGAGAATCTGTTATTGTTCCTTTGTAGAATTTCCTTTCTTAACAAAGTATATGGATTTAAAGTCCACTTCCCTCCCAACACTTTTCTTTTTCATAGCTTGCTAGAGAAAGGGATGAAAAAATAAGTAATGGATACGTGAACAGAATTATCTGAGCTAACTCAGAAGTTATTATGTCTAGCTGTATAGATTGTGCACTGGACAACCACAGAGTGCCGGTCACATAGATCACGGTATCATTGCGCTCACTAGTCCTGTATAGTGTGCAGTTTGCACAACTGTACAGTGCAACCCTAGCTATCTTTCTCTAACCACCAATTGTGAGAACACCTCAGAATTTGAGTGATTTCATAGTTAAGATTGCCAATGGGGGAGTTTCTTGGGTTTTTACTTTGTTTTTCACTGTCTAGTGGGGAAAAATCATTTTACATATGTATGCTATACATAAATGTATTTGTACACACGCACTGTAGAAACTGTCAGATCCCTCTTTAGCTTCTTGAAAATAGAATAAAAATAGACTCTAGTGGATTGAGGACTGGACTACATAATTCTTCACAGGAATTATGAATAACTTCAACATGATGAGAATACTTAAGATGTCTATGAGTATGAAAGTGACAAAATGAAGCTAGAATTTGAAGAAAACCTTAAGTTTTACTATATGTAACTTACTTGTCTACGTAAGATTGGGTTGCTATCAACCTCCACTGACTATCACCTTTATTTTAGTGTTGACTGTGTATCATTTCAAATGAAAGGATGATAAAATATGTGTTTTTGAGAGTCTTGGGTATTTTTCAATCTGCAGAATATTGTAATTGCATGCATACTGATATTGGAGAAATCTGGGTCAGCCAAGTTTCATGTTATTGCATTTAGATTAACCCAGTAATAGTCCCTTTGCCTAGAGGAAGTAATGTACTGCCTGAAAGATGACTGCTCTAGAAGGATAAATATAGACTTCAAGAGAAACAAAAATAGTATTATTTATTTTAGACACATTATTTGCATTTTGTCCCCAGAGACTTCTAATGGTAAATTTCTAGGTACCAGTACCCTGAATGATTTAAATTTGAATGTGACATACTGATATACTTTTAAGTTTCTTTTGAGAAATAAATAGGGACACGAAGATTGTGAGAAGAAAGTCCATCACAGGGCTATTTATAAAACAAGAAACTTAGAAATAGCCTACAGGGCTGGCAATATGGAACGAGTCAAATAATTCTACTTAGATTCGTAAGATACAATATACTACAGTTATCAAAATTACATCCTCAAAGAATATATGAAAACATGGGAAAGTGATCAAGAGATATACAAAGGGGGGGAGGGAGACGCCAGGTATAAAACTATAATTATAACATGAACCCAATTTTGTAAAACCATATATTCTTGCATGCCCATCAAAAAAAGGACTGTGAATAGATATGCCAATATTTTAATAATGGTTTTCTCTGGGTGGTAGGGTTGTGGGCGATTTTGTTTTCTTTTTCTTTATTTTCCAAAACTTTTGTCAACATATCCACGTTACAGTTACAATCAGAAAATACAAATGTGCACTGTTTCAAAGCTTCAGTTGCCACCAGAGATCTGCCCAGCTTCTGTGCGGTGTCTGAGGCTCTCTCAGTGCTTTGTTTTCTCCTGTGATGATACAGAGAACGAGACCTAAACCACTGCAGGTGCCTTTGACTCTTTTCCTCCACTAGTGTCAGGCTGCAATGTGTTTGCTCTACAAAATCATTTTCTACAGCTTTCATTGCCCTAGATGCATAATATATAGGATTTTTCCTGAGATACACTCAAGTCTATTAAGCTAAATATATGTTTGTGTTCTGGGAAGGTAACGCTCGTTCAGCCTTCTCAATTTAGTTGTTGTCACTTTCTTTAGCTTTGAAAAGCTGTGCATTTTGAGTTCTCTCATTCGATTCCCTTTAGAAGAGATCACTTTTCTTTTGCTTTTGGATATTTGTCTACACCTATATTACCTTCTTTATTGATTGTCCTTTACATGTTAATGATCAAACTCATTGTATGTCAGGCATCCTTTAGAAAATCGGTAGCCTTATTGAAGAGATAGTTTAAAAAAACAAAATTGATAAGCTTTTTTATTTTTTTTACCGATAATGGAAATTCCAAAGACAGTTGGGGTGGCCTTAAAATATTTTCTGTCTAGGTTTTCTATAATTGGAATTGGAATTCCATTCCTCTCAAGTGTACTGATTAGTTTCATATGTGTGTCATAGGACAATTTACCATTGGAATGATAATGGTTCAGTATTGACTATTGGCTAGGTGTGATGGCTCATGCCTGTAATCCTAGCAGTTTGGTAGGCTAAGGTAGGAGGACCTCTTGAGGCCAGGAGTTTGAGACCAGCCTGGGAAATAGACTCCATCTCTGCAAAAAATATTCAAGAATTAGCCAAATTGTGTGTGCCTGTAGCCCTGGCTACTAAGGAGGCCAAGGAGGAAAGATTATTTGAGACCAGAAGTTCAAGGTTACAGTGAGTTAAGATGAGGTTCCTGTACTCCAGCCTGGGTGGCAAAGTGAGACTCTGGTAAGTCTAAGATCAAGGCACCAGTAGTTCAGTGTCTGATGAGGGCCACTTTCTCACATGTGGCCTCTTAAAATCTCACCTTGGAGGTTAGGATTTTAATATATGAAACATTCAGTCCATTGCTTTGCTGTTTAACAAATACTTGCTAACATGTTTAAAAGAGAGGTTATCTTCAAAGTAGTCCATTTTTGAGGAACATGATTTACTTCAAAAATCAATTTTTTTAGGCGTTTCTTTCTTGCCTTTGGAGACAGTTTTTTTCTTTTTCCTATTTTTAGTAGAGGTAGGGTCTCCCTCTTGCTCAGGCTGGTCTCGAACTCCTAAGTTCAAGCAATCACCCACCTCTGCTTCCCAGAGTGCTAGGATTACAGGTGTGACCCACCACACCCAGCCGACAGTTTCAAAATTTAAGTTCTTAAGAACTTATGTCCATCTTTCAGGACCCAGCTAATTAAATTATGGTACATCAAGATACTGGAGTCCTCTGAAGCTGTAAATACGAGAATACAGGATATTAATGTGGAAGGATTTCTGGGATGCCATGAAAAGTGAAAAAGCAAGGTGCAGAAGAATTTGTATAGTATGCTACATTTGTCAAAGAGGGAGGAATATAAATGTATATCCATATGTGCTTTGTTTTAAGGAAATGCTGAATGGTGTGCAAGAAGTTAATACAAGTGCACCCGGGAGACAGGGAGGCAATGGGTGGAGCGAGGGTGTCTGCCTCTTATGTCCCTTTGTTTTTTAAAATATATAAGAATGTTAACTATTTAAAGCAATAAAATTTTTATGAAGAAACAAGAAGGAGAAAGTGAATTTCAGTATCAGACAGGCTTGAATTTTAAATCCAGGGCCTACCATGTACTGCTGCACAGCTTCCGGGGAATTAATCTCTCTGTGCTGCCAGTTTTCTAATCGCTGAAATGGGGATCAAGTAAATTTGCTCACCAAATGAGGATGTTGCAAGAATTAGAGAAGCTAAAATATCTAGCTCACTCGGTAGTATGACAATAAATATAGAATATTTTTAGCTTTCACAGAAGCCACACAATTAAGTCAGTGTTGTAAGTTTATAAGAAGCCTTACTGTTGTTATTTTTATGGAGATATAATTCACATAACATATGATTTATCCACTGAATGTGTACAATTCAATGATCTTTAGTATATACACAGTTGTATAACCATCGCCAGAATCAGTTTTAAAATATTTCCATCAACCCAGAAAGAAACCCTTCACCCCTTAACTGTCACCTCCCATTTCTTTCCAACACCCCCACCGCCAGCTCCTGATACAATATTGTTGTGCAAACATCGTAGAGTGCACGTACACAAATCCAGAGGGTACAGCCTGCTACTCACCTGGGCAGCGTGGAATTCCATTTTATGAATATACCACATGTGGCTTGTTTCTGCATTTTGGTTATCAGTATTGCTTCTGTGGAGGTTTTTGTGCATATTTTTGTGTGGGCATGTGTTTTCATCTCTCTTGCATATATACCCAGGAGTGGAATTTCTGGGTTACATGGTAACTCCGTGTGTAATGAAAATCAAAGTGGATTCACCATTTTATGTCCCATCAGCAGTGGATAAGAATTCCACCACATCCTCGTCAAAACTTGTTGTCTGTCCTTTTGATTATAGCCATTTCTGTACGCGTGAAGTGGTATCTCGTGGTTTTGTTTTGCATTCCCGTGATGGCTAATGATGTTGCCCACCTTTGCTGTGCTTATTGGTCATATGTTTATCTTCTTTAGAAAAATGTCTCTTCAGATTCTTTGCTTATTTTTTAATTGGATTTTTTTTCAAGCTTTATTTTGGATCTACAGTGTTTCACTGGGTTTGATTTCCCACCCCATATACATGAGATCTGAAGTTAAATGTTTGGCTGCTTTTTCCAAAGAGGGAGCTCTATCCTCAAAGGATGAAATTATTTCCCATACTGAAGACATTCAAAGGAACATGACCCAAGCTTAAAAATCAATTCCAAAATGAAACAAATGAATGCCCTCTAAAGATTTTCTCTCAAGGAAACAAGCCTCTTTGGGATGTGGAAGTTAAAAACACACACACGTCAGATCAGTTGCATCAGTGTGTAATCAGACTTCCAGATTAGATATACCCACCTGAAAGCTTATCCTGCAATCTTCCTAGGAGATCAAATAATAGATAATTAAACCTACTTTTTCATCTTTTGATTGTTGTTTTAAAACTTGCATTCAGCTTTTGAGTTTACACTAGTTGTTTTTATATAGTTGGCCAGGAGCCCCATGGCAGTGGCCAAGATAGTCACAGACAGACCAGCTGAGCTCCGTGTAGCCACTATGGGTTATCTGAACACAAGGAAAAGAAACATTCTT